TAATGGAATATAACTCACCATTGGTAAAAAGAGGTTCTGGTAATTTTCTGAAGAACGATTTTAGTAAACTGCTTATGACATTCAAATCCCTCCATTTCTATATATTCAGAAGAGAGACATGGACAAAACTTATTTCTTTAGAATAATAATCCAAATACTTTCCAGGAATTCTAAATGCGAATACTATAAGCAGCAACTTACATCATCATGAACATCAATGTCTGTCACTCCTTTGTTGAGCTCTTCTTGCATACTTGAGATAGCAGCATTATTTCCTGGAACTCTGTAAATGCCTGTATATTCAAGGCCTCTTTCTTCAACAAGCTTGCAGCAGACATCAACTATTAGCGGAATATACTGGGGGGATGCAGAAATATTGCTCGTTTCAAAACCTTATTTAGACAAATACAAAGCTAAAATATTTCAACCACTGAAATTATATATAATTTATATATCCATATTCTCATACTTTATTGTTTTGAGCTGGGGGGCAGTCATCAAGTCTAACTCCGAAGGTCCCAACAGATGACGGTTTCTTCTCAAATGTTTTCCTCATAATGCTTGGAATCCCTTTTCTCCATGTTCCTTTATCCCTCGGTGGGCTCGTCTCATCTTTTTTTGTAATTTGAAGTAAGAAACAGAAATAAAGACACTAGTTATACAATCAAAAACTGCTCTTCTTGTAAGTAATAAAATCAATGAGCACAAATGTGATAGTTTTAAAGCATGTCTATGCAGCAGAGATACTGAATTTCCTGTTCTTTTTTCTTACCCTCACCTGTCCTCTTAGGTTCTATTATAAAAAAGCAGCATCTCTTCCAGATTGTTCCTAAAGGTTCTGAACTATTACTCTTCATACCAAATCTCAGGGGAGGGGAAGACAGTTGAAGAGCACCTTAACATGGGGTAATGACTAAGATTTTTTCAGGTTTTTTGGACATGCATACAGGCTTTTCCAGAGATTTAATTCCCAATTTTATTAAACGATCCCTTACTGGCACCACCTTATATAACCTCCCTGTCAAACCAAGCCTTTGAAGTTGGGAAACAAAAAGGCCAAACACTTCATTTTTCAAACACTTCATTTCATGATTCAGTGCATTTTCACCACTTTCTCTGGTCAAACTCCTTGCAGAAAATCTGTACAAAAAGTTCTGAAATCCAGGCAACCTTTTAACTTTCTTTGAAGAGGTTTGAAAACCAAGCTAAGCTGATGCAAAGAGCAAGCTTTGTAAATCTTGCCTATAAGAAATACAACATTATCTCATTTTGTTGTTGTTCAGACTATAGACTGGTGGTTTCCAACCCTGGGTTGTGACCCAAATGAAGGTTGTGTGGGCAATGCCAGTGGCGCCACACAGAAAAGAGGAGCCACATTGCATGCAGGGAGCTCCCTGACCCCTGCGCCACTGCCAGCACACACTGCTACCAGCAGCAGGGTGTAGGGAAAAAAGGTTGGGAACCACTGCTCTAGACTGTTACACAGAAAGAGCCAAGACCTATCTGAGAAAGACTGGAATAAAAAATGTCAATGGTCTGAGATGCTAAAGTATCAGTAATGCTAGAAACAAATGAATTACACAGATTAAGTGATTATAGATACAGTTCAAAGAAACTAGTTAATGCTTGTTTGCACCTGTATACTCAATGCATATGAAGAGCTGAACTAAAGCAACACTAACGTCTCATAAGCAGCCTTTTATAGTGTTAGTTATTTTTAAAATCCATAAAAAGGTACAAACCTTTGGTGAGGATCTTCCTTTCAGACTCTTCCTTGGGAGAATGTGGAGTTTGGGCCCTTAGTTCCGGTTTGCTTCCCAGAAGTGTCTGTCTAAAACTCAGACTCTGGCGTGGAGTTTTGGGAGATGGCTCTGTTTTGCTAGTGGAAGAACTAAAATAAGAAGGTATTTGGATATGGAGAAGCTAAATACTAGGCAAATAATATTGCTGTCAGCATGTACATTACCTACCTCATCATTGTGCTATATTCTTTAATCCTCCGACTAATTAGGTCCCTACTAGTGACACCAGTATCCTGTAAAATAAATGGAGATCTATTTTACAACCCTAATTTTGATAATATAAATTGCAAATGTTTATTTAGCATCTGTAAAATACAATTGCTTAGCAGCAACATGAGATAATTTATGTTGGACACTTACAGAATTTACAATTCGAGTGCAGTTAAAATATAATGATTAGTCTCAGGAACAACAAGAACACCACCAAAAAACTGAAAGTTTAAAGAAGAACTGAAGTGTAAAGTCATAAATTAAATGCTATGATTGGAATTTTCAGAACAGTCCAGATGATTGAACCACAGAACTTCATTGTAAATTCATTTTAAAAGAAGATATATGATTGATGTATGCTGGTAATGCTCTTGATATTTTAAAGTATTATACATACTTTACTGTCGACTTATATGTACGTCAACAAAAGCAATCTGATAAATCTGACATGTACTTTTAACCCAGGGGCGGGCAATTATTTCAGGCAGAGGGCCACTTACTGAGTTTTGGCAAGGCATCAAGGGCCACATGACAGGCAGCCAGGGGCAGATAAATGTTAACTTTCTAAATTTTTTAGGGGCCCCACAGCCCAGATAGAATGGCTTGGCAGCATCTGGCCTGCCGGTCACATTTTGCCCACCCCTGTTTTAACCACTTCACCTAAATTCTGTTTGTAAACATACTTTCCCTGCGATAGTTATTCCAAAGCTGAGTAGTTTTGCATAGCTGCATTAAAAATAGCCATGAAAAGAATTTTCTCCATTACATGTTTGAATATACAGGAAAAACTAATAGCACAGATAAACACATACTATATATAATACACTACACTAATATATTTCACATATAACAATTTATATAAATGAACAGAGAAAATAATTAAAATAACAATATTTCATGATTTAATAGTGAGAAAAATTTCTCATAAGTGCTATTGGATTGCTATGTTATAGCATAAGTCTGACAGCACAGTAGCGTAGACAATGCTGCTTCTGACATAACTATGACAGAAAACAGATTTTGATGGATATTGTACAGTGTACATTTAAAACATATTTTAGTTAACTGTATTTATAATTAACCAGTTTTAATAGGTACCACTAAGTATTATTATCAGATCATCAAGATGTTGGCTTATTATCTCAATAGGTGTAGTTACTCAGCTTTCTTTAATGTCACTATTTTCCCTTACTTCTCCTAATATGTATTTTGCAGAGTGCAAATTTTTAATATATAAAAGCATATACATGTAAATAAATATATAAATATACCATATATACTTACATATGTCTATATTATATGTCCATTACCATATTTACTCAAATACAAGACAAGATTTTCCCCTCAATCAGCACTGCGGGGGGAGGGGGGGGATAGAACAACTCCTCATCTTACATTCACAAACAAAGAAACCTTATTAAATACACTGTTGATCATTAACCTGATGCCAAAATAGCACATGCTTAGTAATGAAAACAAATTATGAAGTTGATTACATGTGGTCAACATTGAACATGACTATAAAATACATGGCCAACACTGGGCAAACAAACTGATGGGAACCTACCACAAATACAGATTAGCACAGCTTATCTGAAGAAAATATATAATAGTGCCCATTGTGCTCAGTCCCTCTCAGTACTGACATGTTTTCAAGTCATAGTGAGCCACTACATTGCATACATTTCAATTTCCTCTTCACTCCTACAGCTAAGCTGTACCTTTCTACCCCCTTTTCAATTATTCCTGTTTCTTCATCAGCCTTAAATGTCTGGCAAACATTACCAAACAGGGTCCCAAACAATCCACCCAGAATCTCTCTGTCACCACCTCTCTCAACCTGCTGCATATTATTATTGTCCTTGTCCTCCATGAGGTGGAGCTGAACCAGGTTGCCCGGCACCTCATTCGCATGTAATTTTTTGGAGGATCCCAAGACTTGTGAGAAGAACACCTACTTCCAAGTATGAGTAGTGGGGTTAATTAGTACATGGCTCCTTTGGTAGTGGCAGCAGTGGGGAGTGTTATCTGAGTACACACATATATTGAGCACTGCTGAATTATGAAATCACCATGACTTGAAAAGCTCTTGACTCTGCTGGGTCCAGCCCAATGAATTTCAGGATAAATCATGAGCCTTTTGGCTTTGGACTAATATTATACATAGGTTGTACTATATATAAGTAGGTAACAAAAGTGCTGCTTAAAAGTGAGCTTATGTTATGGGGTAACAGTGCTAAAATTTGCAGCAGTTTCAAAAAGCCAAAATGCATCAATTCTGGATGAATTAAGTTTACAGCTTTCCACAGTAATTTGCCTGTATGTGTGTCTATTGCAAGGACAGTGTTTCCAAGTTGTGCCTCAGTTCCATGTGCTCAGGGAGAGCAGGATCTGACAAGAAGGACAAGAGGGATTCAAGCAGCTGCAGGGGCCACTTGATCCCCCCCCAGATTTACCTTCCTTGCTATAGCAGTGGGAAGGAGAGAAATTCAAAGCAAACATCCAATAATTAAATTCTACACCTGGAAAATTATAACAAATTTATAACATTATCCATATATAGAATCTAATTGGGGGCGGGGGTGTGTGTCTTACATTCAGGATCATCTTATATTTGAGTAAACACAGTTTATGTCCTATTATCCCTAAAATAACTAATAGCAAATATAATTGGAGACTAAAACAGCTCATAAAATTATACACCAGATATTTTATTACTACCTCAGTATTTAAGTTGCTATTATCTTGTATTGCCTTAATCCATGCCAACATGTTATCTCTGTCTTCAGCCTGAAACAGATACTCGCAGTCTGATGTTGTGAGCCTGAATACATTTTTTCTCTTGGTTTCACTGTATGAAATGTCAATCAAACAAGCATTGATACTGATAGGCTGTTCTTCTTCAGATGGAGTTGTTTGGTCTTTTTTATCTTTGTACAAATAAAGTGAACAACCTCGAAGAACAACATACATCTGTTTCCATGGTCGAATGCTCCCACCAACTCGCTGAAAAAATATGAACCAGTTTATGTTTGCAAGTATAAACACAAGTTTCTATTAACCAGTTAAATTACATTCAGAACTTTCAGGAAATAAAGACTGGGATGACAAAGTGGCCAACCCCTAAGGAACAATATGCAAGGACTACACAAAAATATCACACTGATGGCTTTGCACCCAAGGAATGGGAAAATACTGGTCAATAGTCTTTGGTATCCACATACATGTTCATGCACAATTTTGTAATGCAAATGTAACAAAAGGGTCAGAAATATTAAGGTATGTTTACACAAGTTAACCAAGGAATTCTAGCCAGGCTTTCAAGTTTTTGAAGCAATGATTTCCACCCACCCTCTAAACATTTTGGCCCCAAACTTCCAGCAGGTCTGTGAGATTTATCTGACTTCAGCAACACTGCAGAAACTTACCCCAGCAGAGTGTATGTAAGCCACAGCTTGTCTCATTACTAGCAATGGCAAAATCTAAACTCTGCTTATAAAGGAGTAGATTATTTGCACTAAACCAGTCCAGAGACTGGAATTTATCTATAATTACTCTGAATTCAAAAAAATAGAGATTAAACCAGCTAAAATAATGATATACGAAGAAAAGTTTTAACCAAACAGGTCTCCTTTAGATCACAATGAACAGCTCTAAAGCTGTCACTCCATTACCTATTTTACTGCATACAAAAAAGCTGGAAAGGAACACGCCTTTCCCATAGCTTAAACACACACACACACACCCCCAGCTACCCACCCACTCCCTGCAACCGCCTTTGAATATGTTAAACAGCATAGTACCTTTCCCTTGTCTGTGACAAGCTGTCGAAAATAGAGCCATCCTCCCTTAGAGGCATCACCAAAAACCTCTGAAGAAGAGCCTTTTCTGGATCCAGAATCTTCTGAAGACTTTTGGCTGTCTGGGACCTATGTAAAGTTGAAGTAACAACGCTTGAGTGCTCCTCTACATACATTTTTCTACATAAGTAAACATTCACACTGCTTTCCCTCTCAATTGGATAGCTTGCACTTCATCTGTGTGTGACGGGTTCCACAGAGTATGCCCCAAGGTAATGTCTATCAGGCTCTGAACTGATGAATAGTGAAATCACATGCTGCTCTCCGGACAACATAACACATTATGTCCCTCCACCTTATATTTTTATTTGTGAGTAAGCTTTTGCCTTGGAATACATAAGATTCTGCAGACAATAGAACAAAACCTTAGTTCAAAGACTGAATTCAAAGCTAAGGGCATTTTTAAGTGGTTGCAAAACTGGCACACAGCAGTCCAATTTTACTGACCTAAAAACTGAATGCCTGATCAGACAGATGCATCTGGCATCAAATATCAAGTCAGAATGATATGATCCCCTTTATGTACTCACCTTGATCCCTTTTAGACTAGATACAACCTTAATAGATCTGTTGGGGGGGAAACAAACATAATGAACATGTTGTATACTTTTTCTTAAAACAAAAAAAAATACATGTATACACAAACACAGATTTGTTCAGGACTTACAATTTTCTTTCTTCTCTGTAATCATCCAATCCTTCGTCATAAGACTTGGATCTCTCAGTTTTCGGAGCAGGCTGGCCATCTAGCGTGCTAGGCCTGATAGATTCTGTGATTTAATCAAAATTATCAAATATTAATCAGGCTAAATCACACTTTGTGTTTTAGCTAACTGAAGCCGAACAGGATTATAATGGCCACACCTATCTCTGTGGCAAAAAATTTTAAGAAGAAAATATGTTTACTTAAAAAACAAAAACTTACCATGGTCATGTGAGAGCTGACGTCGAATTAAAGGAACTGAAGATGTAGGACTGGGAGGAACTGTTGTTATAGGAGGTGCTTCAGAAGCAGATGCACAAATAACAGCAGAAGCAGGAATGTGTGCAATGTCATGGTCAATGCTAGGGCTAGTCGGCTCATCTACAAGGTAATATGCAATAAATTAGGCATGTTAAATGCACTAATAAAAAGCTTGGACAAAACAGCATGCTGGACTTGTCTGTTCACTGGAAGACCACAGATTAATATCACAAGCATCCAGTCTGTGAGACATCAAGATTCCAGTTAATGTACACTGTTAAAAAGGCAGGTTTCATTAATGGAAAGTGTTGTAATTTTTTAAGGACAGACTAACATTTAACTGCACTTCTGGGATAAAAGTAAAGAATGCCAGAATTGATTATAAACAGGTTAAGTAGAATCAATAAAACCAGAAATGGATGTTTGCTTTTTCAAATATTGCCCACGATTAAATAGTATGTTGATGATTAGTGTACATTTATAAACTTCTTACATACGTGAAACTGAACTCAAGAGAAATGGAATAGGGGTACTATTCTCCACATTAAAAACTGTACATACAAACCCCAAGAAATTGGGTAAACTAGTTTTCAAAAAAAGCAGACAAAAATATTTGAAACAGTAATACTTAAAAAGACATCCAAACCCCCATTAAAAAAAATAATTAAGCTATTCTTTATACCTGGAAAGCTGCTACGGCTACCTACCAATGACCTCTTCCACTAGTTGCTCATACAAACGATTGCAGGCTGTACACGTCCAACATCTCACACTCTCAATAGCTACAAGGGTCATTATGAAATATTCCAGAAAGTTTTAAGCATTCCCAAAGTTTCTGAGATGTGTCTCACAAAATGCAAAGTTTGAAAAATCTTCCACAATTTTTCTAGAAACAACTTACAAACTTCTTCAAAGATATACTGGAAATATTAGGAAAATACTTCTATTCCAGTACTAAAGGTAGAGAAGAAAGATGAAGAGAAGATCATGAGCATGCTGCTGAACTGTACTGTATCATTAATATGTATGTATTCTAGGTGCTGTGAATTTTAATATGCAGAGCTTCTGAAAAGCCTATTGAAATCAGTAAGCATTCACAAACAGAGGTTTATTCTTTGCTTTGTGTGAACACAACTGCATGTACTGCATTGTGCTTTTCAAACAGTCACTAACAGTTCTGTTAAAAACAGTTGGAGCTCGTACCATCAATTTTTGGTAAAGCTTATATTTTTAAAACAAAAGAAGTCATTGAAACATGACAGGTTTAGTAACTTTAAATTTGTGATCTGTCACCAAAGGTAGGCAAGTCAGAAATTGGGGAAAAAAAGGCTTGCATAGAAAGGCAGTGGTGTCCAGTATAAACAGCTGAACTCTGTTGTTCAAATACTGGGGGAGGGGGGAACCACACATCAGAACTTGCCAATGCAACCTAAACTCTGGCAATGAAACATAGTTAAAAGAAAAGCACAGTTTTCTTAAAAGCTAAAATATTTATCTAAGGAATTTCAAAGTTCTACTTGTTCCACAGAAGCTATCAGAGAGAGGAATAAATAATTTCTATATTATATCTTGGGGATGGGAAAAACCTAGTAATTATATTTTCCATTTTCAGAGTGATGCTAACTCCTCACGGTCCCATGTTCTCCCCTCCCCCTCTCCTCTACTGCTCTTTGATCATCCTTTCCAAGAGCAAAATCTATACCAATCCAAAAGCTGACCCTACATTTGGACTAATGGAATCACACACTCAAATGAAAAATTCCAACATTTTCATTAACTGATTGTTAAAAACAATTGAAAATATTCATTTTACACCTGTTTTGAAGTCACAGACTTCACATCAGAATGTTTATAATTCCTACTCCACTTCTAGGCAAAAGGAAGGGAGAGAGAACAAGAAAGAAAGTACAGTGCCGAGCACAATGGCCCCTGATTGGTACTTCTTCATGCCATCACACATCACAATATACATAGATGCCTCTTACACTGGGCGGGGGGGAAGAGTGCATGGGGTGGCGAGGGAGGAGGGAGAGGCTTGTATATTAGCTCCCCTTTGTTGTGATGGTGCTTTAACACTTTTTAGTTGGATTTTGCAGGACGGGAAATGCATGAAGAAAAGAGAGAAACAACAACATTTTACAGATTACGAGCAATCTTGTAATGTGCTCAAAATGCTCAGAAAATTATGTACTACCATACCCTGTAAATTGACAGTAACAGGAGCTGCAAAACAATAGAAAGAAAATAAATGGATCAAGATCATGGTGTGTATTGTGACTTTTGGTGGTAAAAGACACAGCTACAGTATAACTGCCTTGAAAAGAATCACAAAAATGGATGGAACTTTTCCATACAGGGGACAGCCCATTCTCCATTAAAGAAATTGGAAAGACTACTAATGTCTTCAATATTGCTGCATCAGGATCTGAAAAAAATGTCCACCTTAAGGACAGGAGAAAATATTTATTCTTCTTGCAGAAATGATCATCTCATTCAAATATGACGGAGGGCGTGTTGAAGATTTTAACGTAAAAAATGAATTATATTTTTAAATGTATAGAAAACAGTAAAGAGTGCTATGTGAACTGTTTCTCTCCTTATAAAAAATATGTAGATGCATCACATTTATTAAAAACATCTAATCAAAATTTCCTTCCAATTTGTAGTCTAAAGCTAAAAATGCTAGCACTTACTCAAGTAAAGGCTGTATTGTCCACTGATTTTTTTCTTTAAGATGCACATATAAATGAACTCTTTATTTTTAGATATGCACAGTATTTAGGAAACCTCATTTGTGACAAACTGTAAGGCTCTAATTACTTTATCATTTTGTGAAGTTTGCCCCCAAGGCAAGTATTTTTAGAGCCAATTGCTATCAAAGTCTTCCTGTTGTTATGAAGCTGTTAGGTAATAATCTGTTTTCTCCCTGACTTCTGCAATTTTTTTTTTAAACTACGTTAAGCAACGATCTAGCTTATTGCTTTAAAACAAGCTTGATTTAACCCCTCACACACTAATTTAGATTAAAAGAATGTACAGTAGAAAAGAAGTTTCATACATAAGTCATTATCGATAGTCTGGTTGCTGCTAATGATTTATAGATTTGCATTGCTGCTGAAGGATCACCAAGCTGGGGACAAAAAGAACAATATGCCCAAAAGATTTTTTTTTTTAAATAATTGATAAAGTTGAGTGTTTTTCTGCTTGTTTGTTTATAAGAACATTTTTTTAAGACTTGAAATCATCACCACCATGAAACATATTCTTCTGTCCTCCCCTTCAAATTACTCACTAAAAAGATCATATCTGGAACTTGAGTCACCGTGGGTCACAACCCCAAATGGGGTCATAACCTCAGCAGATGGGGTCACAATAAACAGGGATCTGGTTTTTTCAGAGTGAGAAAAATGCAGTAAAATGTGGGATTCCCTTTGTAGGCTGGCAGACTTCCAGCCTGCAAGGGGCTGCTTGGGGCTATGGGGGAGTAGGGGAGGGCGATCAGAGGCACAGGGTGCCATATGCACATGCATGCATACATGCATGTGTAAGCCAAGCAGCAATGAGAGGAGAGTAGCTCCTGCAGCTCCCTCCAGGTAAGTCTATGGAGGTGGAGGAGGGGGCACAGGTGATACATTGGGAGAGCAGGGGAGGAGCACAGGCAACACAGTGAAGAGTGGGGGGGAAGGCAGTCTAGGGACATGTGGGCTGGGGGGGGGATGCCCCCCAAGATTTCTGCACCTACAGCAGGGTTAAACTAGCTCTAGGCAGGAGCCACCTCTGTGGCCCAGCAGGTGCCTGGCGCAGAAGGGAGCACTGTGCACCATGGGCAAGGTGAGGCATGGCAGCAGCAGGGGCATGGAGTTGTGCCCTCCACTGCCGCTAGGTGGGAAGGGGGCATATCCTGGCAAATATGGTGGCATGGTGCTCCCTCCCATGATGGGCACTGCCCACTCTGCCATGGAGCCTGAGGGGAGGGCAGCAGGGTGGGGAGCTCTGAGCCTGCAGCCCACACCCCCCTCCCCCCAACATGGGCACTGCTCCAGCCATGTTGCCCATGGGGGAGTTGGGCTCCATGCTCTGTTCTGGCTGCAGCAGCTGCCACCTCCCACAGACAGGAGCTGGGGGAGGGCGGGACAGGAGGCTGCAGGTTGGTAGTGAGGGGCCATGCTGAGGAGATGGGTCATGCTAAGGAAAAGTTTGGGAAGCAGTGACTTAGGATGTGTGCAAGCCTTCCAATGACCTGGTAAAAGTTAAGCAGTTCCATTTCAGTGGTGGGAAACTGCACCAAGAGAATTTTGTATGAGCGCTGTTTGCCCGGCTACCTGCTCTGCAAGCAGACAGACTGCGTTGCTGACCGCCTAGGAGGTACCAGAGCACACATCTCAGGAGGCTCCGCAGTCTGCCTGGAGACAGATGACAGCACTGTAGGACACAGGTCAGGGCTGACTGGCTGGCCCACATCCCTCTTCCCCAAAATACCTCCTTCCTGTTTCCCTCCCAGCTGTCAGGCATTCAGACAGCCGACCCCAAGCAGGTATACTGTCTTTTCAAAATGATCAGTTTCCCATCCAGCCCCCAATGGATCCTTAGCCCCGGCTACTGCTGATGGACCCAGTTCCAGCACAGGTCAGTCAGTCTGTCTGGGGTCAGGTTCTGCTGGTTTGGGGTCATGTGCCCGAGTCCCTGGCCTGGGGAAGTGCTGGGAAGCATTACCCCCTGTTCCCCACTCCTCCTAGACTAGTCCTAGGGAAGAGTGGAGCAGCAGGACAAAGCTCCTGCTTGCTCCTTACAACAATGACTCTGATCTGGGATCTCAGTTTCTGGCCCCAGGCTTTAAATGCCACCCCTGACATCCAGCTGAGCAGCAGGGGCAGCATTATAATCCTAGGAACTAGTGTGGGGGTTGTCAAGTCTACAGCCCAGGGGCAGGGCTTTACCAGCCCTTCGGCCTACAGAGAGAAGGAGTCTGCTCTTTGACTCAACTGGAGGAGCTGCGTCCAGCTGTCACAGGATGGGGGCCAGGGGGAAGAACAGCAATGTAGACTGGGATGCCAGAGGGCAGCTGTGGAGCTTCTATTGCTTAGGTAAGTGCACAAGCTTACAAGTTAAACCAGAGGCTG